ATTTGAACTTATCAGCTAAATTATCATTTAAAAGGACACTGCAGGGCCTCAACCTCTATATTTAAACTTTAATTAATATGTAATCCTATTTTTCTGCAAGATGGCGCTGTGGCACAGCAGCTGTTGCTTTAAATGTGCTGCAGAAATCACAGCCACTTGACCTGAACGCAGCATTAGCCTGTTAGCCTGCATGTCAGCACGTTACCTGGCTGCGGTCGCGGGCGCTGGTGTAGCGGATCTTCTGGATGAAGTAGAAGATGAGCCAGGCTGACGAGATGATCATGAGGACGATGAAGGAGATGGAGATGAAGACCAGCGAGCCTCGGTTGATGTTTTTGGTGGAACCACGTTGACCCACCACCACAGAGACCAGGACCGTCAGGTTCTGCTCCAGGTGAGCCAGGATCTCCTTACCGTACGCCTCAGTGATCATCACTGCCACCGTGTCACCAGTACCTGCAACCAGAACCGGGACCAGAGACAACACCACAGTTCTCTTTATTTATTGTCAAAATCAATACGAACGTTTGATAAAATCTTCCTGAACTCGTCCCTGCTGCTGTGAGACATCAAACTAATGCGTCTGACTCTGACCTTCGTGTCCCATCTTGACGGTCTTGTCAGTGGAGTTGTTGTAGATGAGGACGGCCGTGGCGTTGTAGGCGGCCGCCTTCAGGATCTTCTCTTTGAAGGTGCAGTTGCCTCTCTGCAGCAGCGCCACCCAGTGGACGCTCCGGGGGGGAACCAGGAAACGAGTGCTGGGGTCGCAGCCCTGCCGGTCCACCACTGAGGAGACAGTGTTACCATGGTTACTGCCGGGTCACCGCCTGTTTTTATTGTTGTGTAAACAGTAAATTATTACCTGTTGACAAATAAAGTGTTTTTCTGCCGCTCTTTATTAACACCTCATTAAAAATGATCAATCCTATGGACTGAGATAAAACGTTTCATGGAGCTGCTGTTGAAACAGAGTGATGAAGATCAGAGGAACCTCCTCAGTCTGAAGTCCTGCTTCATGTTAGCTGCAGTCTGAACTGCGACGCTGCTGTGTAGAAACAAAGTGGCCGCTGCCCTTTAAGAGTCTTTTAACAGTAAAGTGAGCCGAGTCACTTTTCTCTCTGCAGTTCAATCTGCTGACAGCTGCTGCTCTCTGAACCTTCCTGATGTTCTTTGTTTCACTGACTTTAGTTCTTTTGCAGCTGTTTTCTCTCAGCCTCCTGCTGCTGCTGCTGCTTGAACACTTTGACTCAGTTTTCTCTGGATAGCTCTTTGTTTTACAGAAAAACATGTTACAGCATATTTCCTTTATAATGTGATCATTGTTTGGTGAAGCTGCTCATCACTTATATCTGTATTTGATGATTGGCATCTCTGTGCAAACCGAATACTTGCTGTAGTTATTTCAAAATACTCACTCAGCTACAAACTGCAGCTGGAATCCAGATATGTACTCGAGTACTTCTAGTTATTTCCACTGCGCAGTGACTGCCAATAAACTTTGACACCATCAGGTGATTTTAGTCTCAGTTAAAAATGCTTTTTCTTATTCAAAGTGTCAGTTTTCTAATATTCTCACCTGGTTTTAAAGGAACTCATCACTTCAGTTCGGCTGTTTGGTTCAGAAATGATTTGAATGAAGGAGACTTTTCAGATTTGATAACATCAGAGTGTTTTACAGTCTGCTGAGGACCAACGTCCTCTGAAATCTCAACATCTACGACCTCCAGCTGCGGAGGAAGATCATGTGATCTGGCCGAGAGCTCAGTGTCCTTGTGAGGACGTTGAGTGCAGCTTCAGGTTTCAGTCAGCTGAGCTGCTTTCATCTGACGTGAAGTTAAAGGAGCCGACTGCACAGTCTTCACATGCTACCAGCATTGATTCAGTATTGATTATTGATGGCCGGGATGAATTCTTGGTTTATTTCCACTGTGATGTCGGGAAACGCTGCAGTTTGTGATCTTTCTTGTAAAACTCTCAGCTGGTGAATGAAATGTTGCTGCTTCATTCTGTGTGTGAGTGACCACCTGGTCTGCTCTCTACAGTACTAGACAGATAGAGGCTCCACCTGGTGGAACAACCAGGTACTACAGCTGATCTATGATGCATTTTGTCACATGCAAGTCCTTTATCGAAACAGGTCTGTTTCTGTAGCATATTTAAAACCGCCAAAATCGACCAAAGTGTGCAAATGACATCAGACAGGCAGCAGCAGAAACATGTGCAAACAGCAAGGCTGGATAAAACTGGTAAAATCCATCACTGTCGCCTCGCAGCTAGAAGATCCCGGTGAGGACACCCGGGATCTTTCTGTGTGGAGTCTCCACGTTCTCCCTATGCAGAGAAGGTTCTCTCTGGGTTCTCCAGCTTCCTCCCACAGTCCAGAAACATGCTGAGGTTAATTGGTGATTGTAAATTGTCCGTAGGTGTGAATGTGAGTGTGCTTGGTTGTCTGTCTCTAAGTGTAGCCCTGTGATAGACTGGTTACCTGTCATCCTGAGTTGGCTGGTATAGACTCCAGCCCCCTGCAACCCTAGTGAGGATTAAGGTGTATAGATGATGGATGGGTGGATGAATTGAGTGTCTTGAGGTTTTTCCTAGAACGGTCAGTTGAGGAACATGTGGTAGAACTATGGAACATTTTCCTGCTGAATGAAGAATGTTTTTGTTGTTGTATCACGTCCAAAAAGCAAAAGTGGCAATTAGAAGAATGTGAATAGCAAGTGTGCAAGGAACGCATAAAAAACTTCATATGAGAATGATGACAACTGTGGGAAACATGTGACATCTCATCAGAATCAGTGTGAGCTCAGAGACACCACGTCAAATTATTCCAGCTTCTACGAGAAATCCTCAATGCTGCTGATTCAGATCAGGTGTGGAGGAGAAAGCTGCATTTTCTAAATATTTATTAAGACGGATGAGGAACATGGCCGCTGGAGAGAAAATGTCCGTCCAGGGGGCAGAGCCTGGTCGACCTTTACTGAGCGTGTCCTGGTGTGCTGGTTTGGAGAGGATGCTGCTGATGTTGAAAGTGCAGCAGAAACAAAGACGTCTAATTCAGTTTCAAATCTGATGCGCAGCAACTTCTGCGATTTAAATGTGGTTATAGATTACAGGTTATTGATTTGGATTATAAATTGATTCTATTTATTTTAGCTGATGGAGAGAAACTGTTAAGCTTTTGTGTTTTCATAAGATGCTGATGTGAGCAGATGGAAGAGCTCCAAGACAACTGCAGGCGATCGAAACTCCAGCAGCTGCAGTGTCCTTGTATGTCTGACTGTAATCTGACACCTGTGAGGAGAAACACTACGACTGCAGCCTGAACCCTGAAAAACTACAAATCTGCTCCACCCAAAAATTACAACGGCACAGAGGCTCCACTTACAAAACTACAACTGCCAGGTGTGTCCTCAGGTGTGTGCTGTGATGTCAGTACCTCCGTGATGCGGTGCTGGTGCGATGACGACACCGTTGGTGTCCACCTTCGGGGAGTTCTGTCCATACGTCCCCTCGTCGCTGCTCATCATGTGGACGGTGTTTCCTCGTCCGTCCAACACCGTGGCGTTCACTGTGGCGCCCACATACTCCTCTGACACCATGTTCCTGTCAGAGCGGGCCGGAACCAGGATCAGGACCAGGACCAGGACTGACAGGATGGGGAGCCGGATCCACCTCGGGGACTTCATGTCGTTGTCTCAGTCCTCGTCACATCCAAACTGTCAGGGAGGAAAAATAATGTCCTTCAGACCAACAACACCTTCATCCTGTCCTCCTGAGGACGGCAGCGTCCTGCTGTCTCACTGTCGTCCTCCACATGTCCTCACAGACTGTCTTCAACTCAGCTCATGTACTAGACAGGACGTCTGTCACTCAAAATGTCCTTATGTCTCGTCTTTAATAATTTAGTGTCTGTCCTTAAAAATCAGCTTTGATGTCAGTTTTTTGTGTAAAGTCATTAATTATGTGGACAAACCCTACAGATGTCCCTCACATCCTCTATGTGTCCACTGAACATGCTCATGCCTCTTTGTCCTAAAGAATTTGTGTCTCTTACCTAAAAATGTCCCGCTTCGTCCCTGAATATCTTCTGTATGTCCTCCAAATGTTTGATTTGTCTCTGTATGTCTTCCAGATGTTGTATTTATCTGTGTATATCCTCCAGATATTTGTTCTTTCTGTCTTGCAGAAGTTTCTAGGACACCTTGCCTATGTCTCCAGTCCTCTGTGCAGATGTCCCTGGGTTCAGCCTGTCAGGTTGAGGACAGGCATGAAGGCAGACAGTGAGGACACGGATCGTCCTCTGCAGGCCCGCAGCCTCGGCTGGTTGAACTCACCTTCCATTCAGAAGTCCGTAGAGAAAAAGCAGGATTTAAGGAGCAGCGCTGAACGCAGCAGTGACTCAGTGTCTCCCCGCCGCGAGGAGCAGCGCTGCGGCCGCTCCGTCCCGCTGTGTCTCACCGTCTGCAGCCAGACACACGGCCGGGCTCCCGGTGCTCCCACCCCGCCGCCTCGGCCGACGCTGTCCCGCTGGACGTCCAGCGTGGTCCAGTGTTACTTCTCCGGTTAGTTTCTCGGTCGAAGATGCTCTCCATCGCCCGGTTTGGGGCGCACTGCGCAGGCGCACAGCCACGGCACGGGGAGGCGGCAGACAGGGCGCGTGTCAGTGTTGGATGTTTTGCAGCACGTTAGAAAACATCAGAGCAACGTTTTAACAACAATTCAGAGTCCCAGATGTTAACCGAATGAACTTTAAACTGATCTTTAGAGTAGAGTTTTATTGCTATTTGCAGTTACATCACAGCTACAGGTACATTGGGTCTGTACCCGAATCAGCTTTATATGAAGGAAAACATAAAATCTAAGAATAGCAGCAATAAAAAAGAAGACATATATATCATAAAATTATATAAGTACACTTTTTAAAAAACACTGTGTATATATATATTTTTTAAAAGTGTTAAAAATAGATACCCTGAGAAAGTAATTGCTCATATTTTGTGGTATACAGTGGTTTTATTACATGTTGGTTTGAAAACAGAAGTGAAATGACATGACCAGAGTAATATCGCACATGAATAGGAACATCGTGTGGGGAGGGGTGGTCGCTGAGGTGATTAAATCTCTGCAGTTTTAATGGCCCGTTGCAGGAATTTCCTCTCAGCCACGGTGGTGTTGCCAAACCACACTGTGATACCGCTGGAGAGGATGCTTTCAACGGGCCCTCTGCAGGCTGGGGTGACGTCTCGGTCCGGCCTTCTTCAGCAGCCTGATGGAATGAAGCCTGTGCTGAGCTGCTTTCACTGTTGTCGGTGTTTTTTTCGCCCAGCTGAGGCTCTCTGAGATATGAAGGTCAAGGAACTGGAACATTTGTACATGAAACCCACTCTAACAGCATCATTATCATCTTCATCATCACCATCACTTACGTCATCACCACTATCGTTATCACCATCATCAACATCATCATCATCATCATCATCATCACCACCACCACCATCATCATCATCATCATCAGTGCAGAGTACAGGCAGCATTATAAAATGTGTTTTTCATGTACAATGTCTGCAGGACCATGTCTGAGGAGACAGAGGACAGGAGACACATCACCTGTTAGAGACAGACAGACATTTCCTGACTTCAGCTCGTTTTATTGCAGTAATGTGGAATGTGGAGTGTCCCTACAAATATGATAAATTATGCGACCGATCATTCATTAAGGAGAAAACCACAATAAATAAATGTGAGGCTGCTCGAGCTGATGTGATCCATGAATGAAGGCGGACAGACGGAGAGCTTCAGCTGCGTCTGCATCTTAGACAAGGACACGTTTCATTTCACTTTGACACATCCAGTCAACATCTGGGACTCTGTATCGTTGTTGAAACGTTGCTCTGATGTTTTCTAATGTGCCGCAAAACATCCAACTCTCACACGCGCCCTGTCTGCCGCCTCCCCGTGCCGTGGCTGTGCGCCTGCGCAGTGCGCCCCAAACCGACAGACGGGGAGACGGGGATCGAGCCTCCGCAGCTCGAACCGAGAACCTAACCGGAGGAAAACACCGAGCCACCGGCCCGACCCGGCCGCCGAGCATACACCGGATCCCGCTGGACGTCCAGCGGGACAGCGTCGGCCGAGGCGGCGGCGTGGGAGCACCGGGAGCCCGGCCGTGTGTCTGGCTGCAGACGGTGAGACACAGCGGGACGGAGCGGCCGCAGCGCTGCTCCTCGCGGCGGGGAAACACTGAGTCACTGCTGCATTCAGCGCTGCGCCTTAAATCCTGCTTTTTCTCTACGGACTTCTGAATGGAAGGTGAGTCCAACCAGCCGAGGCTGCGGGCCTGCAGAGGACGATCCGTGTCCTCACTGTCTGCCTTCATGCCTGTCCTCCTGTCCGTCCTACTGTCTGTCCTCACTGTCCGTCCTACTGTCTGCCCTCATCATGTCCTCCTGTCTGTCCTCCTGTCCTCACGCTGTCTATCTTCCACCTGACAGGCTGAACCCAGGGACAGCTGCGCGACAGACTGAAGACATTGCGTGGACATAAACAGGGTGTCCAATAGAACTTCTCCAGGACGTGCAGGGGCAAAACATGTGGAGGACATAAAACAGCTGGAGGAAATATAAAGACCAAGCATCTGGAGTACAAAAGGGAGGACATTAAACATCTGGAGAACATACAGAGAGGAAACAAAACATCTGGAGGACATACAAAGCCAACACATCTGGAGGACATACAGATACAGAACATTTGGAACATATACAAAGATAAATGAAACATCCGGAGGACATACAGAGACAAATAAAACATCTGGAGGACATAAAACACCTGGAGGACATACAGAAGACATTCAGTGACAAAGTGGGACATTTTGAGGTGGGAGACACAGAAATTCCCTTTTCAGGACATAAAAACAGGCTTTCAGGGACACAAACAGACATTAGAAAGTAAAAATACTGAGAAAAAACTGTGAATAATGGGAGGACAAAGAGACAGTAAGACATTTTAGGACACAAGGAGACAAAAACCTGGAAGACACAAAGACTTTTACAGACTAAATAGGACAGTAAGCTAGTGGACAGTTACACAAAAGTCTTTTAATGACAAAAGAAAGGTCCTGAGAGTTCCATTGATAATTAAAACAATGGGACCTTCAGGGACAAAGTGGGACATTTTCAGGTAGGAGACATAAAAGAAATAGTTTTGATGGATATAAACTGACTGAAAAAATTATAGCCAGCAAGGACAGACACTGAAATGTTGGAGAGGACAGTCTGACCAGTGGAGGACAGAAACATAAAGACGTAATTTGGAGGACAGGTTTTTCAGACTAAGAAAAAAGTTTGTAGAAAAGGACATAAAGAGACATCCAGGATACAGCTGGAGGACAAAGAGGACTTAACGGAGCAGGACATCTTCTCAGTGACAGACACTGACATGAGTAGAGATCTTTAGGACAAAGAGGCATGAGCATGTTCAGTGGACACATAGAGGACATGAGGGACATCTGTAGGGGTTTGTCCACATAATTAATGACTTTACACAAAAAACTGACATCAAAGCTGATTTTTAAGGACAGACACTAAATTATTAAAGACGAGACATAAGGACATTTTGAGTGACAGACGTCCTGTCTAGTACATGAGCTGAGTTGAAGACAGTCTGTGAGGACATGTGGAGGACGACAGTGAGACAGCAGGACGCTGCCGTCCTCAGGAGGACAGGATGAAGGTGTTGTTGGTCTGAAGGACATTATTTTTCCTCCCTGACAGTTTGGATGTGACAAGGACTGAGACAACGACATGAAGTCCC